TCCTATATTGTTGGCACCCATTCTATTGGCTTTAGGGAAACTTGTCCAGAGCATTGTCTGTTAGTTCTCACATGTAAAATCGTGGGTATGTGAGCATCGTTTGCATTTTAGAGCTACATAGAATCGGGTCGTAAGGTGCAAATGCACATTAGGGGCGCCATGTCAACCAACTTATGCATGGAGGTTGATGAAAAGAATGAGGAACTGTACACACATCTCGTCATGGAATACGAGGTCACGTGGGTGGAGTTTTTGGAGGAGATGGCGGATTTCAAGTATGCAGCTAAGCTCCAGCACATATGGAATCACTGGAAGAACCAAGCAGCCCCCAACGTCAAGAGGACAATGATGCAACTTTGGGATCTTGCAAACGCTGGTCCAAGCGGCCCTTGACGCTAAGACCGTAATGCAACATTGGGGTCTCGCCACCGGTGGTCGAAGTGGCCCTCAATGACATGAGGACCGTGATGCAACATTGGCGTCTCGCCACCACTGGTCCAAGCGGCCCTCAAAGTCAAGACCGTGATGCAACATTGGGGTCTTGCCATCGCTTGGTTGTGAGCATCCCAGTTGCAGTTGCTAGTTGACATTAAGAAGCAGCTATGGGGATGGTTCCAATCCTGTGAGTTGCCTTCCTCATAGCCCATGCCCCTCTCCCCTCCCCCCCTCTTCTTAGTAAATGCATTATGAACAACTCTTCTCTGTCCTCACTACCTCACCCAGAATCTTGCCAACCCCTATGCTTAGGGAAGCGCAGATCTCCTAGGTCAGTGAAGGAGTGTCTTCTCAGCAGCTCGGCCTTCACTGAAACCAGAGCATCTCTGTCTGCAATAGTGAAGACAAGGTCGTCTACGTACTAGGATGTATCTGGCATGAGTGAGGGAAGAGAGACGGGTCAAAAGAAAATGGAAAGAACTGGAAGTCTGCTAGTGTAGCACGCAGCGTGTCGTACCACTCACGGGGCGCTTGCCATAGACCGGGCGCCAGAGGAACCACTCGGTCCCATAAGGGAAAGAGCCAGAGAAGCCTGACGGATGGCGGAGGTCGATCTGCTCGTACAGACTGCCCTGGAGGAACGCTGTGGAGAAGTCAAGCAAGTGAAGCTCGTAGTCGCGCTGTGCTGCTACGCGAAGCAGCACCCGAAGTGTGGTCATCTTCGGGGTCGAGGCGAAGGTATGGAAGAATTTTGGAGGTATGAGCTCTCTATGACCAAACCGACGCATCGCTCAGCGACCTCATTCTGCTGTGGGGAGTCCGGCAAGGTGTATGACTGGATGATGCCATCCGCACAACAAAAATGACCAAGCCGACCAGAGGTGAACTCACCTTCATGGTCAGAGTGAAGACGGAGCACTTGCTGGGCGCGGTGGACTCAAGTAGCTACCAACCACGGGATAAGAATATTAGGCACGCCGGCCTTCCTCTCCAGAGGAAACATCATGGTGTAGCACGAATAGTCGTCTACGAGAACCAGGAAGTAGCGTTCGCGACGCTGCCTTGGGACCGAGGCTGGGCCCCGGACGCTGCCAGGTGCATGGTTTGAACTTGCGTAGTGATGGGGGGAACCGAGGAGGATTGAGGTGCACGGCGTAGCCGTTCCTCGACACAAGGCGTGCACGGAGGTCTTAGGCAAGGGAGGGGGGGGCAGAGAGTGACGCAAGGCGACCTAAGACAAGATTGTGCTGGGACATGTGACATAGACGCGGGAGTGCGGGGTGACCTAGGCAGTGGTGCCACACAAGCGACGGGTGAAAGAGCGACCGGCATGAGCAAGCCGCAGCGATATGGGTAGACGCAACCATCTGGGGGGACCAACCACCTAGGGGGGTGCAGTGTCCAACGTGAACAGGCCAATGGCGGCATCAGTACAGACTGTGTACCGCTCGTGTCCAGGAAATGTAATGGTGACGTCGAGGTCATGAAGACAGCCGACACCAACCAGGTTCCTAGAGAACGAGAGATGTGCAAACTTGTAAGAGAGCCCGATGGAACCGCCGGACAGGGAAGTGTGGTGGAGCTACGTGCAACTACCAGATCGGGGGAGGGGTTGGAAAGGGAGAATGCTGGTGGTGCTGAAAGCGGCGTGAGGGTGGTGTGGTCGCGTATGAACTAGGCTGATGCGCCAGAGTCCAGCGTGAAGGAGAGCGCGACAGTAGCGTCGGCCGGCGGAGGCGCAAGTATGGAACAATGAGTACACAAAAAAGGAGGCCAGCTGTTAGGGCCGCCTCCGCGACCCCCACCACCGAAGCTGCCTGGCCCCCACTGAGGCGGGGCCCCCCCATTGCTGCTGCTGCTACTCATATGGAGCGGCAGCCCCGACCCCCTTGGCCGCACCCCCAGCACGCCCACCATCCCCACCCCTCCCACCACATGCACGATCCCCAGCACCCCCAGCACCCTGCCCCCTCCCACGCCCCTCCTTGGGGCGACGGGGGCCTCTACTCTGACGAGGCTAGGCGGAGGCCGCTGCAGTGGTCACAGCGATAGTGGCTGCCTCAACGACATCAGCAGAAACGTCGGAGTAAGTGCACTGGGAGAGATCACAACCCTGGAAGATAGGGACCACCGTAGTACCTCTAGAATGGGCGATAGTGTGCTTGCGGATCTCTATCACCAACAGGGTGGCAATTAAGGCGTCAAGGGTGAGGTCAGCTGGGTGTGCACTAAGAAAGGTGTCATGGGCGGTGGCTAGGTGGTCAGGGAGGTGCGTGGCGAGGAAATATAGAGTGGCGCCAAGGGGAGGGGGGAGTACAATGAGCTGAGCCTCAGTGCTAGCAGTGCGGTAGCTAGACTTGAGGGCACCCAGGTGGGCGGCCAGATCAACAGTAGTGGGGAAGGAAGCTAGGTAAGGGAAGAGTAAGGGCAGGAGGAGACGGCCAGCACAGGCGGAGGAGGGAGTGGAATAGCGAGCGATAACAGTGGCTAAATACTCATGAGCAGTGGCTACAGCCTGAAAGCGAGGATGCTCGGACAGTGGGAGGGTGCGATTAAGAGCAAACTACGCAGTGGCGTCACGCGACTCCCAGAAAGAGCGAGCGGTCTCAGCAGCTGCGAAAGCCTCACACTCAGCAGGCGCTGCGCCGACAGCGAGGGCAGCGGGCGCGAGCGGGCAGGGAAGCTTACCGTCAATGCGGGGGGCCAGAGACTAGCCGTCCTGGCACTGACCTTCAGCTGATGGCGCAAGTCGGCATCCGTCATCGCGCACGTGCGGGAGCAGAGGCAGCCGCGTCTAACCAGCAGCGACCACACGACAGCACAAGTGCGGCAGCTGCAGGACACAAGAGGAGGAGCCAAAAGCAAGAGGGCACGGTGAAGTGCGGTGGAGAGCGGTGGAGTGCGGTGGAGTGGAGTGCAACGGAGTGCGGTGAAGTGCGGTGGAGTAGCACGGTCGGCGAGGACGTCGGCGCAGTCAGGGAACCAGGGCAGGGGGAGCGCATGGTGCACGACCCACACCACCTAACCTTGCACCCCCATTCCCAGCAGCAGCCATGGCTACTCCGACATGGCCATCCCCACGGCCCGTGAGATGGCAACGGCGGCAGCGGCGTGCGGCGGTAACGGCCAGCGGCGACAGCGGCGGCGGCGGCGGCTTCGACGACAGCGGGGACTGCAGCGGCACCCGCCCTTTCAGCGACGTGGCCAAGCTCCGCGACAATGGGACGGCCGGCGGGAGTCAGGCATCGGCTGTGGCGAGGAGGATGGGAGGTGGGGGGGAGGGGGGGGGTGTGGTCCAGCATCACGCACGTGGCTGGCGTGCGGGCTGCAGGTCTAGCGGCGCCAAAGACGTTGCGCGGCCGGCTGCAGCCCGATGACGCTGCCACTGCAGCATTACGACGCCGCCACAGCGCGGCGTCGATGCCGCCGCGGAGCGTTGGAGCTGCAACGGCAGCACCACGAAGGCGCCATGGCAGCTCGGAAAGGCCGCCACGGCGGCACAAAAACGGCGACGAATGAGTACGCGGCGAGGTAGAGGGCCAGCGCGGCGAGCAAGAGAGCCAGCGCGGCGAGCTAGGGCCAGTGCGGCGCAGCAAGCTAGGGCAGGGGCGCGCTAAGGGCGAGTCGCTCTAAGGGCGAGGCATTCTAAGGTAGGCTAGGAGGGAAGCGCAGGTGGGCGGGACCTATCTGGCGTGATACCATGTTAGAATAGCGAGATGAACTCTAGCAAGCGGATACAGGGCGACATAAGGGTTTGGTGTTCTACTCTCTAAGAGCACGAACCCATCTAGCCTATAATTATACATGCTATGCTTATGTCTAAGTTGACAGTTTGTGATTGCATCACAAGCACGCGATATCCTCCTGCGTGCGGCATCTATGATGCCTGGTTTAGACTTGGTGTGGGCCGAGCAGGGGAGGGGGGGAGCGTGAGCAGGATGATGGGTGGAGTTCTCTGTGGGCGGACTCGACCTCCATGGTGGATTTGTGAGTTCTGTTTTGCGTTTGTCGGGGTCTTTTAAGGGGGGTTATTTTTCCGTAGGTGGCGTTGTCCTTGTGTTGTCTCCCTCCGCCTTCACCATGTACGTCTGAAGAGGCCTTGGTTTCGGTTTGAGCGGGTTGGGATTATGCTTTTACTGATGCACAGTAGGTGTCGTGATTAACCCGAAGAAATTCAGGTATATACCGCTACTGTTGATGCATCAGGTACAAAATGTATCAAAATTACACTCTCTAAGGATGTGCTGTTGTTGCAAGAACATTTCGCTAACAGAACTAACTGGCTGAATTTTCAGCAGAAAGTTCCGTTTCGGGTCGCACCCAGCAAACTTGCTTGAAAGGGGGGAAGTGAAGCCATGTCGCATCATACACTACCACTCGCGTCGCTGTGTGCGATTCGATTTCGCTTTTTGTCCAAACACTACCACTCCCTCGCATTTCGTCCTATCTCCCATCCCCTCTCATCAATCCCTCCCATGCACGAAACCAACTCCCACACACCACCCTTCCCTCCCAGCCCGCGCGTACCTTTTCAGATCGTACTTTCTCCCACGTTCCTTTTCGCTCTGACCACCTCGTTACCCCACACGCAGCACCGTGGCGTGCATAGTAGCAAGTCCAGCTCAACGCACGGACATGCCATGCCACCCAGACTTACCTTCTCACCGACCATCCACCACACTTACCTTATCACCGACACAATGCGGCGATGCGCACTCGTGCCGCCGCCTCATCTGCGTGAGACATCCGCGGACTCCGTGGAGTAGCGGAGGCTCTGCTTTCCCTCCCGACCCAACCCGATGCTCGTACTACCCGTAGTAGGCGTATAAAAGCCTGGAACCGACGACATTATGGCAAGCTCTCCACTCCACTCCAGCCCGACTAATACCGCAATAGAGCTGTGACGGCTCTAGCAGAGCTTTAGCAGAGCTTCCATCCGCCTGCCTGCCTCCTTACCCCTCTTCCGTTCCTCGATCAACCGCCCAACTATTCCTCCATCAACCGCATTCAACCGCAGTCCACTGCAGCCGCCATGAGGCGTTCCAAGCTGTTCCTCATCCTGCTCGCGCTCTCCCTCGTTGTATCCCTCGCGCTCGCGCCGCTGTGCCATGCGAGCGATATCGCCGCGGAGGACGATGGGCCTGACGCCGATGACGCCGATGACAATGTGGCCTCGGCCCCTGGTGAGGCATTGTCTCTGTGTCCCTTGCCCAAATTCCGAATTTTCGCAACCGTAGTGCCACGCGAGCGATATCTATGCGACATTGTCGACATCATCAGCATTCACTAGTACGAAAATGAGGCATCGCCCCCCTGGCGCGTTTGCACAGCTCGGAGCTCCAATCCGACCAGCCCTTGCAGCATAATTCGGAAATTCTCATAAGAACAAGTGCGAACTCTGATTACAGGGATTGCAGGCGGGAGAGCACAAGGACTGCCTTTTCTGCTTCTAAACCTCGCGTTGGTTCCTTTACTTCCTCCCGTTTCCAGGTGTCCTGAGCAAGCTGTTTGGCGGGAGCAGGAGGTTCCTGTGGTCGAGTGAGGGGCGCATGCTGTCGTGCAAGTCGGACTGCGAGGACAAGAACAAGAAGTGCAACACAGATTACAGCAAGTGTAAGCGCGAGAACAAGGACGACGAGCACGACCACCACAGGTGCACGCACAAGTACAAGAAGTGCAAGAAAAAGGCCAAGAAGTGCCGCTCCAAGTGCGACTAAGCCAGGAGGGTGAATAAGATGGCGCTCCCACTTGCTATGAGAAGTGTAGAGCTTGCAACCCATGTAAGGGCGTGCCTTCAGCGCCACTTTTGGAATGCTATCTTTTGGGAACATGTACGTAGCTGCTGCCTCTGTTGCTCCATCCGACTAGGAACTCACAACACCGCCACCACCAGGTGCACTCTCAGGAGCAGGTGCACCAACTGCACTGCTGTGACTGTCCCATACTTCTGCCCCGCTGACACCATACAAGTTACCGTTATCCTCCCAGTGTCGTGCCATACCACCAGCAGCCATTGCCCTCGCTCAGACGACCCTGGCATGATGATACTTAGCTGAATAGTCAACTCTTGCATCATGTTGACGCTCCGGGGTAACACTTAGCCATCACTGGCTAACACATGCTCACACTCCTGCACGTCCAGCCCCTGCTGCAGCATCTTCAGCTGACTCATCCGCTGGCAATGCCAGATGGTGCCTAGCTGTACCCACACATATTGCTGATGCTTTGGGGTAGCACTGAGCCATCAGTGCTGCCGGCACATCCTGCTGATGCTTTGGGGTAACACATGCCCACACGCCTGCACGTCCAGCCCCTGTTGCAGCACCTTTATCCTACTCAAAACAAAGCCCTTGCCAACGCCTGCTGGTGCCTGACTGTACATTTTCAGCCCGTACATACCCTTGATGCTATGAGACAGCACTGAACCATCCCTGCCTATCAGATGCTCACACTCCTGCACGTCCAGCCTCTGCTGCAGCACCTTCATCTCACACTGGTCCTCGATCAGTGTCTGCAGGCACCTAGCTGTACCGGTATATCTTCAACCCGCACATCTTGTTGATGCTATGGGGCAGCACTGAACCATCACTGTGGATCAAATGCTCACACTCCTGCACGGCCAGCCTCTGCAGCATCTTCAGCTAACTCAGGTCCTCTGGCAACGCCTTCAGGTTCGCATAGCCTCCCAAAGAGAGGGTCTTGAGTCGGGTAAGACCTGCAACGCCGGGAGGAAGGGAGCGGATGGAGGCATTCATCGCAAAAAAGGTGTGCTCGCAAAACGATTGCGTAGCATTCGAGCGAATGCTTTGCAAACGTTTTGCGAACATGTGGGTGAAAATTCCTGGCGGACTTAGATTAGAACACTTGGCGAATGCTTTGGCAACATTTCCCGAAACACTTTTTGGTTCACGACAGCGAATGCTTAGCGGTGTCGTTTTGGTAATCTCCGTGGTTCGTTTACTAATGCATGGCGGGCTTATTTGTACAACTTATGCAGTGAACTTGTAAATGCATAGAGAAGTATATGCTGAGGATTTGTAGTATTCAGCATGATTGGTTGCAAACGTTTGGCGGTGTTTTTTATGGATCCGTTTATGCAGGCTGCAGTACCCGTTAGGGCATGGTTCAGTACAATTAGGGCATGCCTCGTTTGAATTTAATTACAATAAAACATGCTAATTATTTATTTTATTAAAAAAACATCTTCAGCACAGTACACAACCACTATGGCCCAATCGCCCTTGCCTGCCAGCACCCCTATGGGGGTCCCACCAATAACCAGCTTCCCAACAGCCTACTAACCCCCATCTTCGTGGCAGCTGCTGATGCGCCATTTCCGGTAGGGCCACTACTGTGCCCTCAACCCACATGCCGCTAGGCCTGCCTACTCCCGCCACTGTTGATTGCCCGCGGGCACCTGCCCATGAAGCCACCTGCACCTGCTATGGCCCAACCTATCAAACTGCGTCACGTCCTGCTGCTGCCGCACTCTCACCCAATCTGCCTTATGATGCTACTGTGCGACTTGACAACTGGTTCGGCTTCAAGAACTACCCCGGCCAGGACTGCTGGCCGCTGGCGGCCTTGCTGCTCCGATCCAGACCCACCTTCTCCGTGTCACCACCCCTCACCCTTTCGCCCCCTGCTCCTCCACCTTACCCCTGGTCGTGGCCTTGCCATCCGTTTTCCGCCAATCTTCCCTTTCTTGTCCTTCCACTCCTCCTCAAACCCACTCTCATGGATGTACAGAACATGCTCCCCCCACTTGAACCCCTTCATTTCCCTGTTGTACTCTCTTGGGTGCTCGTCAAACCACTCAATCACCACCTGGCGCACGAGCTTGCGAACGGCCTCGACCCATGCCTTGTTCTTGGGGTGGGAGTTGGATAGGGCCATTGTCTGTGTCTTGACGCGCGCCAGCCCGTAGTCGACCTGTCATGGCCGGGGGGTTGGGAAAGGGAAAGGGTTGGGGGGGGGGGGGGGGGGGGGGGGGCTATGTAGGGGGAAACAATGTGTGGCGGGCGGCAAACGTTCCATGAAGCACACCATCAAGGCCCATCCCACAGCCAGAACTCACCACCATAAGGATCCAGGCAACATGGTACGCCTTCAAGCACAGCTTTGCGCCCTGTCACCACTGCTCAAACCCCTCCACAGCCGCGTCGAAGAAGAGCAAGTTGGCGAAGGGCTGGCCGCTCTCCTCACCCTCAAGTGACTTGGCGTTTCCCCACGTGCTAACCACTTGGCCGAGCTCCTCATCTGGGGGGGTTACAAGAGGGTAGCATATGCGGGAGTGGGGTTTGGGGCCGTTTCCAAGGGGCCGTGCACACCATGGTTATAAGAGGCATGCATGGGCTGAAACAGCAAGTCACGTCACTCACCGGGCCTCAAGGCCCCCCACAATTTCCTCTTGACCTTCAGGTCAAGGAGGATCTTGCAGGCGCGGGACCACCTCATCTCCACTCCCAGCGCGGTGAGTACGGGGCGCTTGATGGCAAGGCGCGCTCGTTCTTCCAGACCGTCCATACGCGTTTGAACGGCTTGTTGTAGTTCTCGTTGTTGAGTGACTCCAGGATCTCCACAAGAGTCACGTCATAGCCCAGTGACACTAGGCCGCGATGAAGCACGCGGCAACGGGTCTTGTAGATGACCGCGTCCGGGTTGTGGATGCATATTTCGTCCTGCATTGCCTCATAGTGGATCTGTAATGGAGGGTGGGAAGGGCCAAGAGGGAGAAGGGTGGGTGTGGGGTGGGGTAGAAAAGGGGGGTTTGGGACCGCGGTTGAATGTGGGGCTGGCGAACACGTGTGGCGGTGGCTGGGGTGTGGACGGACGGCTAACAGGAGTCGGAACGAAGAGTCACAGCCACGGGTTTAGGCATTAGGCTGGCGACGAAGCACCGGGCAGCAACCAAAACGTGGTGTGCGCTGAGGGATCTGGTGGCTTGGCGGGCGGGTACAGCGGCCGAGGAGGTGGGGCGGGGGGGGGGGGGGGGCGGGGAAAGGTGGAAACGGAATTTTAGGTGGGCTGGCAGTGGGAGGGTGGGGTTGGGATCCAAGTGGGGGACCTGTCAAAAAATGTATAGTGGCATCACACACGTGACTCACCGGGATGTTGCTCACGGAGGGCATGCCACGACGCCTCGTCCGGGGGCGGTTCCCCCCCACGCTCTCTCCGACCGCCTCATCGTGGTCACTAGACGCCGACGCCAAGCGGGGAAGGTGCTGCCCCCGCACCCTCTTGAGCTGCAGAATCTCGATAGCCGCCTCGCGCAGAAGGCCGAACATGCTGGCGGCGGACAAGTCACGCGGCACATCCTCCATGCGGGCCAGAGACTCCCAACCGTAACCTCCAGTGTTAATCTTGCCCTCAAGCATCTGTCTCCGTTTTGCCTCCACGTCGGCATGAACCTGCGCAGCGTCGTTCGCGGGTCGCTTCAGGCCAGCAGCATCCACTCCTTGGTCGGGGCCGCTCGCTCCACCCTCCCATCCACACTCACCCATCCCTGAGGGCCACATCCCGTCATGTGCGGCTTGTGCTCAGCCCTGTGATCATCACGCCGGCATGCCCCATACTTGTGCCGCATCCATGCCCCCGCCCCCCCCCATGCCGCTCGTTCGAAGCGCCTCGGGCGTCTAGGGCAGCGGGGGGGAGCGGCGTGAATGGATCGGTGCCGCCCAGGGTGTTTTCACCCTCGCGTAATGTGGTCGGTGTGTTGCGGCCGTTGTCAAACTCCCTTTTTCCGTCAGTGAGCCAAGGCCGCCACAGGTGTGCAGGCGCTGCCTCTTCAAACGTTTTCTCAAACCGCAACTCCGCCCAGTGGCATAGGCGGACTACTTTTCTCTTTCAGCACTGCCATCAGCCTCCACCTTAGCCTCCCTCTTCACACCCCTCCTGTCCAGCTCCCCGTATTCCTCTTCCTCCGACGCCTTGTCGGTTGCATACGCCGAAAACTTGGTGTCGCGGTAATCCGTCCGCCGAATGAGCACCGGACCTTCAGACGCAGAGCCGCTCTCGAAATCGTCGCTGCCAGCCGGGTACGAATCGTACACATGCTTGGCGGGCCTGGCCCTAGGCCATCCATCCTCCCCTCCTCTCCCTTGCTTCCTCATGTCGCCACATCCTTGCTTCCCTCTGCTCCCCCCTTTCTTCCTCGTGCCATTATTCCCCCTCCCCTTATCCTTCCCACCCTTGTGCCGCCCGACGAGCCAGTCCCTGCCGCGATTTTTGCCGCGGTTGCGGCCGCCGTCAGACTCGCTCTCAAGCGACTCCAGCTCGCTGCTTTCGGCGCTCCGACCGTCGTAGTTGGACTCTGACGCCGAGGACTCGCTCGAGTCAGAGACGCTGGAAGAGGACGCCAAGCCTGATTCCTCAGGAGAGTCTTTGCGCTTCTTCCGTTTCCTCTCGCGGTCGCGTCCTCTTTCGCGGCGTTCATGTGATGGGGCAATGGCGTCGCTCTTCGCTCGACGGGTGTCTCCATCGCGACGCTCCCGTTCGCCGTCCTTGTCCTTGTGGGACGGTTTCTGTGGGCTGGTCGTGGCGGCCATGGTCGGGCGGCCTTCCACACGAGCGGGAGTCTTCAAGATGGGGGGCGCAGCCGCGGCCTACGAGGGCTTCGCGCGATCCGACTCCGCCACCTTGCTTGCGACAGTTTCACCGTCAGGGGACTCATCGTGCGACGGCGGCATGGCGCTAGCAGGGGACTCGACAAGGACCATTGCCACTTCCTCAAGCACCTGAGGCGCGTCTGCTGCGGTCGTCATCACGACGCGGTTCCGCGTCGGTGCGGCAGCTGCGGGAATGGGAGCGGCGCTCGCGTCCGCCTTCGCCGGAGGGGTGC